TTATAACATAACCAAAGTAAAGCGCGCGCTCTGATTGGTCAATTTAGCGTCCCCCATTTGCCCATGGGTGTACGCTGCTGACGTGAGCAAATGCAAAGACTATTTTTCCGCGCGCGCTTGTTTTTTCTGGTCACGTAAGATTTGTTAAATAAAAGGGAACTCTTTAGCTACAATGTATCAATGTTATGTTATAAAACAAATGGTAAACACCACAGCGTACACTATTGAGTTATGGATGCACGCGGGAGGTTGCTAAGCACGAAAGAAGCGTAAGAGTCGCTCGAGGCGATAGCCGAGAGCGACTCTAGCTTCTTGAGTGCTTAGCAAACCTCCCAAGTGCATCCATAACTCAATAGTGTACGCTGTGGTGTTTACCATTTGTTTTATAACATAACATTGATACATTGTAGCTAAAGAGTTCCCTTTTATTTAACAAATCTTACGTGACCAGAAAAAACAAGCGCGCGCGGAAAAATAGTCTTTGCATTTGCTCACGTCAGCAGCGTACACCCATGGGCAAATGGGGGACGCTAAATTGACCAATCAGAGCGCGCGCTTTACTTTGGTTATGTTATAAACATTAATATTGATCGAACTTAAACGCATTCTGTAAATCCAGGAGGATTCACTTCATTAATTTAGCCCACGTTTTCTTGGTATATTTCTTTGTTGCAGTGGTTGCATTTCAACTAGGATGCAACGAAGAAGGAGAAGAAGGCAAGCGCCGGTGAAAAGTATAGCGAAATCCTTTATTCAGTTCCTTGAGGAAAATGACTTAAAGCACGAAATGGCTAAGTCAGATTTGAAGGAAAAATATGAGTTACAATTTCGCCCTTCGTGCAATGGGTCGAGTGTTTGTTTCTCGAGAGTACTTTCCACACTCAAGAATCGCCTAAATCTGTGTCAGGTAATCCGTGGTCGCGTTGTTTTTGGCGACGGGGAGGCTGCAGCACTTCGAATTCTCGATTCTGACGAATCGACCTCTGAAGAGGAAGAGAGAGATGACATGGAGAGAAACCTTCGCTGCACGACGTGCAAGATGGATTTTCATACTGATGCTCTCCTAAGAAAGCATTTGGAATCGGGTAGTCACCATCAGCAGAGTGTCTTGCGGACGATTCGACAATCAGTAGAAAAGTAAGTGTAGAAACGTTTACGATCCTCATATTCCCAAAGTAACCTTTAATTTACACTCCCGGATGGAATGAGGGAGTTAAAACAGAAGCTTTTCACTGAGCCTGGATCGGATCATAATAAAAAAAATCCATATATAAATTTGCTAGACCAGTTGACATTTATCCGTTACTAAATTCTCTAATTTGCCTCCATATGCAAACCCATCCTGGAACGTAAACTCTACGATAAAAAACCTTGAATGGTGCCAAATATACTCATAAATATGATTGATTTTTGCTGAGATCATCTTTCCTGAACCGAACTCAATTGCGCGTGTAGGCTTTATAATGCAAAACAGTGACAAAGGAGTTTGTTTTGTTTTTACTTAACAGGCCAGACCTTGTTAAGGATAAAAGGGGAATAACGGTTACCTCTGTACCACCAGGGAACGAAAATGGCGTCATTGAATTAAAGGTTCAAAGAAACAAGAGAGAACAAATCACTTTGATAGTGAAAAACACCGGCACCGAAGAAGTTGAATTGAAGGACATAACTCTTTTATGGAAGGTGAATTTCTTCCAGTGCTCAGACTTATTAAGAATTGGTTCAAACGGGGAAGATGTTGATGCAGGTAACATTTGTTAATCGTTAATTATTTATTCTTATTGTTAAATTGAAAAAAAAAAAAAACATAATGGCCCTTCCAACCGCTCCACACCCTTGTTTTCGTGAGCGAGTGAATTAATTTATACGCTCTGATTGGTTATTGAATGCAGTTCCGTTAGAACCCTTTGACATCGCAGCCGCTGAAACTCAGTGTACCATATAAGGGGTTAAAAACGGGACACCTGCAAATATCCTCTCAAGGATGGATGGCAGTTAATCTAGGCCGTTGGGTCTGTTATTTTATCAAGCGTATATACATAATTGATGCAAAAATAAGCGACAACATGCTTAGACATCTTCAGGATGTCATTGTCAAGTGAAAAGCGTGGGTCGATTCGTGTTTAAGAAACAGATCAACGACTATGAGTTTAGGGGTTACTGATATGAAAAGTGACAAATAAAGGTGACTGCAGGGAAACAACAACCTCAGGCAATGAGTGGATTGAGTCTGAGATCTCTGACAAACAACGTTTCAAAACTTAGACAGTTAGGTTGCTTCTACAATTCTTCAGGATGGTAAACTTGTCTTCGAAATTCAAAGGATTTATATTAAGTTCTCTCTTCGAGTGATTTCCGATGGTTGAGCTCTTACATGTCGTTGTGTGAAGCTGACAAGCCACATTTGGCTTAGAAGGAAGGAAAATTGTCTTCCTTGTGTCTTCTAGTTAGCAATCGTAGAAAAATTGTGGTTGTGAAATTGTATTAATGTTAGCTTTTGATTAGAAGTATTCTCTTTTCTTGCAAATTTTCACGGGTCTGATTATAGTGTCTTCAACATGAAGGGACCAGTCATTATCAGTAGCGGATCTAGGGGAGGGAACGAGGGCCCGGGTCCCCCCACTTATTTTGGTTAAGAAATAAACACAGAGGGAACAAAAGCCGACAGGTGAACACCTCCTCCCCCACCCCTTTAGCTCAAGGTCTGGATCCGCCACATATTATTTATCGCCTGGAGGTGGAGGATTTCGGAGGATGACGTAGTTTTCAGGGGGAGCGGAGGGGGGATCAGTTGTCGGTAGAGTTTAAAGAGAGGGAGACAACAAAATTCACTGCTAATTAACAACTAATGACGGGGGATCATAAGAACATAGTACAGAGCCTTATGGGAGGATCAGCCGTCGTAACACAACCAAAATTCTCCAGCC